CGTACATTTTATCAGAAGTGAAGTCAACATTCATGGTCCGTTATTCTGTTTCGATGTGATTATTCTGTGAATCTGAATATTCATGTTCACTCTATTCCATCTACTATTCCTCCTCTTCTTCTTCTTCTTCTTCTTCTTCTTCTTCTTCTTCTACTTCTTCCTCTTCCTCTTCTTGTTCCCTCCCCTTTCCATTATTTGTTAACTTCATTGCATGAAAAGACAGAAGTTTCTTGTTTGATACAGTGAATTAAAAAATGCTGTACACTAACCACAATAAATGATACACACAAGACGAAGAAATTAAGAAGAAGAAAAAAAGAAAAAATAGATTTGTTAAAAAATCTGGAAAGTCACGGGGTAAGGAAAACGAAAAAAAAATAAGTAAAGAAATCGAGAAAGTCAAAGAGTAAGATAAACGACAAAGGAAAATAATAAAGGAAAGCTAACCGTGGAAAGTCCAATTAAAGGCTTTCGCTCGATGTGGCGCCGAGCTTTGCCTTTTCTTTTGGGCGCTGGGCTGACCTCTGACCTTGCTCTCTCTCTCTCTCTCTCTCTCTCTCTCTCTCTCTCTCTCTCTCTCTCTCTCTCTCTCTCTCTCTCTCTCTCTCTCTCTCTCTCTCTCTCTCTCTCTCTCTCTCTCTTTCTTTCTTTCTGTCCTTTTTTCTTTCTTTCTTTCGTTCTGTATTTCTCGCTCTCGCTGTTTCATCCTCTCTTTGTCTCTCTCATTCTCACTTTTTCACTCTCCCATTCTCTCTCTCTCTCTCTCTCTCTCTCTCTCTCTCTCTCTCTCTCTCTCTCTCTCTCTCTCTCTCCTTTTCTCTCCCTTTCTCTCTCTCTTCCTCGTTCGACGCTATCGTTCAGTATTTTGTGTATAGTATTTTGGCTTTAGTGTGATTCGTATTTTTGTTTGTTTGTTTGTTCCGGACGTTTTTTTGTTAGTATTTTGTATTCATTATTTATTATTTTGTTTGGGCTATTTTTTTTTTCGATTTTGGTTGCGCCTCCTCTGTTCTCTCTTCTTATGTCGTCCTTTCCTTTCTACTTCTCTTTATCTTCCGCGTGTTCCATGCTCTTACCCTTTTCTTTTTTTTTCCCACTTCTAGTGTCTTTCTCTCCTTTCTCCTTTCCCTGTCTCTCGTTCTTACGTATATTTTTTCCTTTTTTTTTTTTTTTTTTTTTTTTTTTTTTTTTTTTTTTTTTTTTTTTTTTTTTTTTTTTTTACTTCCTCGGTCTTGTCCTTCACTTCTTTTTCCTCTTGCTTCTGCTTCTCTTTCTTCTATATTTCTTCCTCCTCCTACTCTCCCCCCATCCTCTTCCTCTATCTCCTCCATCTCCTCTATCTCCTTCTTCCCCCCCCCTCCTCCTCCTCCTCCTCCTCCTCCTCCTCCTCCTCCTCCTCCTCCTCCTCCTCCTCCTCCTCCCCCTCCCCTTCTACTCCTCCCTCCTCCTCCTCCTCCTCCTCCTCCTCCTCCTCCTCCTCCTCCTCAACCCCCCATCCTTCTCCTTAATCCAAGTAAAGTCCACGAGATTTTGCATGATCGAATGCAATTACTCAGAAAATGACACAACAAACAGTATTTTTACAGTTTGTGAGATTGCTAATCTAAATTTCAGCCTTTGGATATCTTTCATTTTCTTTTATCTTATTCAGTTACTGGTTGACAGGTGTTGGTGTTGATTATAAACAAGTACAAAGTTCATCCATAATCCGTTATTTTTAGTTTTATATGTAAAGCCTGATAATAGGAGATTTAATTGACGCAAACGATTAACCGCTAGATTAACTTTTCTTTTTTTTTCATTTTGTTCTATTTTTTTCGTTTATTTATTTATTGTTAGTCAGAGGTAACTTAAATAAGTGTATTAGTCCCTCTGAGTCACGGCTTAGAGAGCCTGTGGACGGGTAGTGTGTGTGTGTGTGTGTGTGTGTGGGTATTCGGATGGGCATTCAGCGGGCGTTGGGGCGTGAGAGAGGGAGAGGGCGACGGTAGGCACTGCGTGTATTTGTAAGCGTTTCTGTGAGTTTATCTTGAGGTCTTCTTTTTTCTTGACTGTTATAATAATGATGGTACTGATTATAATGATAATAATAAGTATATGATAATAATGGTAATTATTATTATTATTGTCTTTGTTGTTATTATTACTATCGTTATTATTACTGTTGCTATTATTATTGTTATTATTATTATTATTATTATTATTATTATTATTATTATAATTATAGTTTGTTACTATTATAATTATGATTAGTAATTATTGTTTGATATTATTATTTTTATTATTATTGTTGCTGTAGTTATTATTTTATGCGTGTGGCTTAAAGGCCACGATTTATTTACCATCATTTATATTTTTTGTTATTTATTCATTTAATGCGCCTATAGGGAATTAATATTTATTTCCCTTTTCTGCTATACATTCCAAAAATGTATTTATTCATTCAGTGTGTCGGAAAGTAATTTCATATTTATTATCCTTTCTTAATCTTGTGGTGTTACAGCATAAGCGAGAAGAAAAAACAAATACTCCGTAAGTAGTAAATTTGAAGTGAGGATTCATCAAGGTGCTAATTAGTGATTGAAACTCGTGAATTCCTCTGAAATGTGACTAACGAATCGATCTTCGTAACAGAGAGATTTGGTAATTAAAAAAAGGGGGCCATTGTGCGAATTAAGTGGATGAAATGTGAACTAAAAACGCCGTGAGTGCGCGTGTGCACCACCCATCGCGCGCCAGCCAAGGAGTGCATGACGTCATCATTCCCGCCCGTCCTCCAGCGCGCTTCGTCTTCGTCGCCGTCGTAAGCCCGCTCTATGCAGCTCACACGCACGCGCGGCAGAAACAACATGCCCGCCCGCACGCCCACGCTGCATAAACTCCAAGATGTCTTCAGGAATATCATCCCTCCCTCGTGGCGGAAGTGTAGCAAGTGCGGGGAGCGAGTCTGCATTTGTTGGCGCACGAACAGGTGAAGAAAAAGAAAAAAAAAGATGAGAGGCGAGATGCGCAAGGGCTGATGGCGCTGCATTGAGTGTTGGTCGGGTGGGGGAGGGCGCTTCCTTTCTTGTTTTTTTCTTTGTTTATTTGTTGTCTGTGGGTGTTTAGTGTGTTTGTTGGGTAGCTTGATGTCTGTGGGTATGAAGGATTTTTTTTGTACTATACTTTTTTTTTCTTTTTAATATTGTCTGGGTGTCATTGACGTGCGAACAAAATGCATTATTGTTGCTGATGTATGCCTGCTTGTATATGTTTGATTTGTGGTAAAATATAATACGTTTATATTATGTGCAAAAAAAAAACGAACAAGAAAAAAAAAACAAGAGCACATTCATAATTAGAGAAAGAGAAAAGTCAAAAAGTGGTGTTAGCCGAATTCAGCTCCACAGAACAGTTTGAATTGCAAATGAACAGCGACAAAACCCGTGTATATTTTCCCCAAACAAGCACTTTTGACGATTTGTTCTGTTAAGCCACATTTGAAATCCTTTTGAACTGCCTTAATGCTTTGCTAATAATACGCCTCTCTCTCTCTCTCTCTCTCTCTCTCTCTCTCTCTCTCTCTCTCTCTCTCTCTCTCTCTCTCTCTCTCTCTCTCTCTCTCTCTCTCTCTCTCTCTCTCTCCCTCTCTCCCTCTCTCCCTCTCTCCCTCTCTCCCTCTCTCCCCTTCTCTCTCCCTCCCTCTCTCTCTCTCTCTCTCTCTCTCTCTCTCTCTCTCTCTCTCTCTCTCTCTCTCTCTCTCTCTCTCTCCTCCCTCCCTCCCTCCCTCCCTCCCTCCCTCCCTCCCTCCCTCCCTCCCTCCCTCTCTTCTCTCTCCCTCTCTCTCTCTCTCTCTCTCTCTCTCTCTCTCTCTCTCTCTCTCTCTCTCTCTCTCTCTCTCTCTCTCTCTCTCTCTCTCTCTCTCTCTCTCTCTCTCTCCCCCCCCCCCCCCTCTCTCTCTCTCTCTCTCTCTTTTCTCTCTCTCCCTCTCTCTCCCTCTCTCTCCCTCTCTCTCTCTCTCTCATTTCCTCTTTTTCCCCTTCAAGGAGAGTAATAGACAAGGCACCTGTTCAGTTTCCCAGCCAAGGATTCCTCAAGCGGTTCGCTCCGCAGTACTTCCGCGGTTCTCCTTCCTCAGAACAAAATATTAACGGGATTATTATATTTTTTTCGACGATGGTTCGGCGGTGGTACATTGTGTTTTTTTTCGGGGGGGGGGTGAGGGGGGAAGGGTTAGAAGGGGGATTAGAATAAAAATAGAAATAAGAGGGGCGGGGGCGGGAGGAGGGGGGGGGGAGAATCGTCTGCGGGGGGAAAGCAGATCGTGTGTTTTCGGTGTATTTTTAGGGCTGGTCGCGTGAGGTCGGGGAAGTAAGTGTGTCTGTCTGTCTGTTACCCGACGCCGAGCAAAGCGTATCGTGTTTAATGAAGTTTAAAGTTTAATCTTGGCGATATATTTTATTTCTTGTTACGGCGTTTGTGGTCATGTTGCCTAGCATTGATGTACGATAATTGTTTGTTTTGTTTTTTTCTCTCTCTTTTCATCTTCTTTTATTGATTTTATTTTGGATATTTATCAGCTGAAGTACTGTTTCTGTGTGGGATAACGCATATTTGTTTCATTGATTTCAGGTGTTTTTTTTCGTGTTGTATCCGTCTCTCTCTCTCTCTCTCTCTCTCTCTCTCTCTCTCTCTCTCTCTCTCTCTCTCTCTCTCTCTCTCTCTCTCTCTCTCTCTCTCAGACTCTCTCTCTCTCTCTCCATCTCTTTCTTTCTTTCTTTCTTTCTTTGTTCTCTTTCATCCGTTTTCTTGTATGTCCAGAGTCACGCATCGTGTTTCGCTTGAGTCACACGCGATTGCATTACTCGTAGAATTACCTGCAAATCTGATTTTTCAATATTTTTTCTGTTACGATGACCCTCAAAATAAGTTTTGAATGTGATGTTTGATTGTGAAATTAATTTTTGTAATCAATATGTTTGAAGTGTTGCTTATGGCAGTGTTTTTTGTTTCCGTTGCAGAAGAGATGGTGTCCTTGACGAGCATATGGCAAGTGTGGGAGAGCCAATCGACGCATTCCCTGGAGAGAGTCCTGCAGCAGGTCACCACAGTCCAGGAAGAGGAACAAGTGGTCATCGCCAGCGCCACCCCCCCCTCCACCTCTCCGACACACTCCCCGCCTCCGCCGCCCACCCAGTCCCCCCTGCTCCCCCCGCTCGCCAGTTCTTCCCCGCTCCCGTCTACGACCCTCTTCCCGTCGCCGCTCCCGCCCCTGGAAGCCCCGTCGGCCAGGACGTCGGTGGTGGAGTACGACGCGCCGGTGCTGTCGCCAGCCACCCCAGCAGCGCCGCCGACGACGGTAGGAACATGTTGATGACGCAGGCACTTGCCGGCCCGAGCGGCGGCGGCGTCGGAGGCGCTGCTGCTGCCGCGGCGGCAGGGAGTGGAGGCGGACTCCCCCACGAGGACTCCACCAACTTTAACACCCTCTCCACCTCTTCCTCCTCCAACACCAACACCACGGCTTCCTCCTCCTCGGGGGCCTCCCACAGGGGCGGCGGCCTTCTCTCTCCAATTCTAGACCTGCTAGAGCTGGATTGCAATGGTGGAGGGTCCGGGGCTGACGATAACTACCAGGTAGACTATTCCTACTAACATTTCTTACTCGGCTTCTCCGCCTGTCCCGTGGCCGGTCTGGCTGGGCTTCGCTAACCGCTGTCCCGCCGTCCTTTGTAAACTCCGTCCTTCCCTTGTAATGCGCTCTAGAAAGAAAAAAGAAAGTAGTTTATGAATGTCTGTTTTTTCTCTCTCTCTTTTTAATGTGGTTTAGATTAGTGCATTTTTTAAAGAAATTGTTTTAGATATCTTATAAGTAACTACCATTAGAGTTATATACCTAATAGTAGTTTTTTTTTTCTTTGTTTCCGAATATTTCCATGACTGGAGACGGATTGCTTGTGAATCTTTATGTAGAGTTTGTTAAAATAGAGACTCTTTCTTCCTCGTGTTTGTTTGTGTGTAGTTCTCGTAGGTATTATGGGACAGTAGTTACTGATGATTATTTTCCGTACTCTGTGGTTTTCTTTGTCCATTATTCGTACTACCCTTGTTAACATCATAATATTTTCATTTTGTGCGTACGCATAGTCACGTACGTACATACGCAAAAAGACATGTAACAAACATACGCACATAAATACTTTCAGTCACTCCCACAGATATGTTTTTTTGTATATATTCATTCTCTCTCTCTCTCTCTCTCTCTCTCTCTCTCTCTCTCTCTCTCTCTCTCTCTCTCTCTCTCTCTCTCTCTCTCTCACACACACACACACACACACACACACACACACACACACACACACACACACACACACACACACACACACACACACGCACATACACACATACACACACATACACACACTCACTACACATCACATATAATTATGCTAATTTATAAGTGTTTTGTATGTTCCTGGTTGTAGAAGTTAATTCCTCTATTGAAACTCAGTGAATGTAAATTAACTAAATATTGTTTCACGTTCACTGTATACGTTCCCTTCATGTACATAGTACAGGTAAGTTATTTTTAGAATGTTGCAGTACATAATATCTGTTTTAATTAATGCAGGGCCTTGGAAGTATTTATAGACTGTTATGGAAGTCGACTCGAGGTAGAAAACATAGAAAGGGCAAACTAACCAATATTCATCAAGTTGCTTCTTGATTCGTGAGTTGATGTATTGTTTGATTTGTAAATTGGAGAATGCCGGACGTAAAAATTGGGTCTGTTTACACACGAAATGGACGTTTGTATTGCAAGGGCGAAGAGCGGGAGGGAGGGGCAGGAAAGGGCGAGGGAGCGGGAAGTTGTTTCGACCAATCACAGTCGAGAAATTTCGTCGGGTCTTATCAACCGCTTTTTTGATTGGTCAGCACGACGTGTGATGTTAAATGTTTCCAGTTTTGTTATTATTAATATTGTTAGGATTATCATTATTATCGTTACTATTGTTGTCACGATGGTCATTTTTAGTATCAATATTACATTGTTTAGTTCGCGCTTTGCTAGAATCCCGGCTCACGATGTGGCTCAAAGGACCAATGAAAAAATTTACGAATATTTGTGGAAGTCAAAGTCCCCCTCTTCTCCTTGTGTGCGATCGCCCCTTCCGCTATCAGGAGCCCATCTGGATACGACTGCGAGGGTACCAAGGCCGGTGCATGATAATTTCCCCATTAGTATTTCAGCGGTGCAACTGCATGATAATTCTCCCATTAGTATTTCAGCTGTAACCCTGCTCAGTGTATCTTCGGACGCATATTTTAGCGGCGTCGAGGGAGAGGGAGAGCGGTTAATCTGCTGGCAGGCGGGGTGGTCGGGTTTAGTCATGCAGCGGTTAGGTTAACGACTAATTCATCACAATATTTGAGTGCCGGATATTGGTGTCCATTTGTTGTCTTTTTATGCTTATTTCATACAAGAAATATGAATGTTGTATTTTTCATATATTTGATTTTTTTTCTATATATTTGATTTTTTTTCTATATTCAATTTTGGGGCGAGAAGTAACATAAAATGACGTGGATATGATTGAACACAATCGAATGATATCAGCTAAGAGAGAGAGAGAAAAAAAAAGTATTTGACCTACCATGACCCCTGCGAACTACGTGACCCCGCCGTAGTGGACACGCCTTATGCCCTTTGATTTCATATCCGCCTGTGCTTGACCGAGGTTTTCCTGCTTTCGTAAGAACACAGCGTTTTCTCTCTCTCTCTCTCTTTCTTTCTCTCTTTCTCTCTTTCTCTCTCTCACTCTCTCCCTCTCCCTCTCCCTCTCCCTCTCCATCTCCATCTCCATCTCCCTCCCCTCCCCCTCCCTCCCTCCCTCCCTCCCTCTCTGTCTCTCTCAGAAACCTAGAGTTAAGTTTTCGGGTCGGTAAGCCTCGGATCGGATGGTTTCACTGGATTGTGCGGTAACTGCGGCTGCGGAGGAGCTGGTGTGCGAAGCGTGTGCTGTTGTGTTTGGTGGCGAGTGATGAGCCCGCCCTCGCTGTGATGGAAATGCCCTCTGCACCCACACGGCATCGGTACACTCACACTTGGATGCATAAATAACGCGCATATGAGAGACTCCAATCAAACGAAAGAGAAATAAACTCGGGTGTAGACCTAATTAACCTGGCCGGCCGTCGCATCCCAAAGGTAATCGTTCTCCCCCCCTCCCCCCCTCTAGTTTACATGTGCGATGATGCCGCCGCTGAACCGGAAATGCGGTCCGCTGCATATCACGGCATAGGACACACGCGCTCGGGGTCAACACGATGCTATCCCCTTGCCATCCTGAGAGGGGAATGGACCAGCAAACCTCACGAGAATGTAGACCTTATCAGCAAGGTGTGTCTAGCCGGGTTTGTGAAGGAAGCGCCTTACGTGTGAAGGTGAGCGAGTTTGCGGATAGTTTTCACCTGGACTGGGATCCTTTAGGGGGGAGGGGGAGAGATAGGCTCATGGGGGGGGGGGGGGACCGGGACCCGTTTGTTATGTTACACCTCGCTGGCTCAGAGGGAAAACGAACCCTGTTTTGGAGGAAACCAAGTTGGAAGGAGTGGAAAGTATCGTGCGGCGAAGGGGTGCAGAGAAGGGGAGAGAGAATTCGTGGTCCTTATGGCGTTTTTTCTTCTTTTTTCTTTTTTTTTCTTAGATATTCCACTGAAATGGTAAATAAAGACAATTATTTGAATCTGTTTACGGGTGGAAATGAACCCGTTGTAATCGTTTATCACTGTATGGTCATTATGATCCATTTCATTTGTTTTGCAGCATCCTTCGCTGACTACGTTTGCAATTTGCAATGGAAAGTAATCGTAGCAACATAATAAGCAGCAATCAGGAGGAAGACAAGAAAATGATTATTTACAAAAAAAAAATAATAATAATAATAAATAAAAAATAATAATAATACAAAAATAATGATAAATAAAATAAATGAAAAGTACATATGAAAGAAAAGTCGCTCCTGAAAATTTCCCACATCCGTACATAGTGTGATTTTATTTTTATTATAATTACTATTTTTTTTCGTTGATGTTTTTGCTGTTTGTTTTTGCTGTCATTTATACGGGGCGGGATCTCTGGCCGAGGGACGCAATCGATCAAAGTTTCTAACTTATTTTGGCAGTTGTTTTTTCCGTCTGTAGTCTTTTTCTTCTTGTTTCCTTTTTTTTCTTTTCTACTATTATTTTTTCCACTAGTTTCTCGCTGCTTAATTCACCCCTTTTCTGTTTTTTCCCTTTGATATTAATCTTTAGTCCAAATGATGCTGTTTTAGCACTTCGGGGCGAGGGGGGGAGAGAGAGAGAGAGAGAGAGAGAGAGAGAGAGAGAGAGAGAGAGAGAGAGAGAGAGAGAGAGAGAGAGAGAGAGAGAGAGAGAGGGAGAAAGATACAGGAGAGAGAGAGAGAGTAAGAAAGAAAGAAAAAGATAAAGGAGATAAGAGAGAGAAAGAGAATACTAAAAAAAGAGAGAGAGAAAGAAAAAATGAAAACAGAAACGAGTTGGCAGTGGAATCGAGCGACAGTTATCGGGCAGGGTCCCTCCGCCCAGCCCCTCGCACGCACGCACGCCCGTCCGCCCGACACACAACACTTGTTTACACTCGCCTTCTGATCCACGGGACGACAGCGGGTATCTCCTCTCGGCTCCGCTACACCTGCCGTTTTTCGTGTGACGTTCGTTCCCTCGATTTGTTTTTGTTTTGTTTTTTCTTTTCATGTGTATGTGTACGGTGGCGTGCGGAGTGAGGGAGTGAGAGAGAGGGAGAGTGTGAACGGCGTGGAGTATTATGGGTTCGGGAGTGCGTGTTTTTTGTTTTTTTGTTTATTTTTTTTTGGTATTGCGGTGTGTGGGAGTGGGTTGGTGTCTGTGTTTGTGCGTGTGTGTGTGTGTGTGGGCGTGGACGTGAGTGTGGGCGGGTTCCGTGTGGGTGTCGGGCGAGTGGTATTAGTACCGAAGGAGCAGGATTTGAATGCTTTATGGCGCCGCTGGTGAAGTCTGGAAGCTGTGTTGTGGGTGAGCTGGTGATGTTTGCACTTGTGTGACGACCATAGGTTAGATATTTGTCATTTCCTGTTTTTTTATGGATTTGTTTGTTTGTTTGTTTATTTACTCTTCCTCTGGTTGATATTGGAGTGTGTTCTCTCTCTCTCTCTCTCTCTCTCTCTCTCTCTCTCTCTCTCTCTCTCTCTCTCTCTCTCTCTCTCTCTCTCTCTCTCTCTCCCTCTCCCTCTCCCTCTCTCTCTCCCTCTCTCTCTCTCTCTCTCCCTCTCCCTCTCCCTCTCCCTCCCTCCCTCTTTGTAAATTTGTCCGTTTGACGTCCCTGGTATTGAAGTGTGATTTAATGTTTTGTGTCACTTCAAGGTTACTATCCAGTTGCTGTCTTTCTGTCTGTCTGTCGTCTCCCTCTTTAACCCACCCATTCACACTATTCTCTCTTTCTCCTTCTACCTCTTCCTTATCCTTCCTTCCTCTTCCTATCTTTCTCCCCTGTCTGGCCCTCAGCCCCCCCCCCTCCCTTTCTCTCTCTCTCTCTCTCTCTCTCTCTCTCTCTCTCTCTCTCTCTCTCTCTCTCTCTC